GGCTGCCCGGCACTCTGACCCCCTATGGACGCCTGCACGTGGGAAGCGCCGCCGGGAGCTGCCGAGCCTCCGCGGTCTGTTGGTAAATGGCCACTGTTATGCTTGGGCAGGCTCTTTAGAAACACGCTACTTCTTTATCCTCAGCAATAATTTAACTTAATATTATGCAAGTAATACACGCGCTTTGAGCGGGAAAGCAGAGAACATACGAAGCAGTAACAAGCCCGCCCGCTCAGCGGCTGAGCAGCGGCCTGTGCAGGCGCCGGGAGATCGCGGAGCCGCGGGGCCGGGCACACGCCGCACCCGCTCCATCCCCAGCAGGGGGCGCGGGAGGCAGCCGCTCAGTGACTCATCATTGACGTTTCTCTCTCCCTCTCCCTCTCTCGAAGTCAATAAAGACATTAAAAAACAAACAAACAAAACAAAGTAATAATAATAAAAGGCTAAAAACAATCCTAGCAACCAAAGATAATCACTGTTAACATTTTGGTATATATTCTTCCAAACTTGTATACACCCAAGCAAATGTGTATATATATGTATATATATATTTTTCTTCACTTTATGGTTGGACATATATTAAATCCTTCACTACTGTAACAATGCCACACACATCTGCACCCTTGCCCAATATTTTACTTAGGATAAATTCCTGGAGATGTAGTTGAGTAAAAAAGTACATGCTAATCTCATTGGTCTTAATTTGTTTCACTTGGTTACTTCTGCGATTAAACATTTTTTCTTTTTCTTTAAAGCGTTCATTTCCATTACCTGTTTTCTTACTGCGAGTTTTTTCCTGTTGATTTGAATTCACTCTTTACGTATTAAAGTTATTAGCCCTTTGTCACATATTTTTCAGGAATATCCCCCGGCCCTGGCTGGTGTGGCTCCATTGGTTGAACATCACTCCATGCAACGAGGGTCACTGGTTCAGTCCCCAGTCAGGGCACGTGTCCGGGTTTCAGGATGGCAGCTGAATGATATTTCTCTCTCACATCAATGTTTCTCTCTCTCTTTCCCTCTCCCTTCCTTTCTCTTTAAAATCAATAAAAACATATCTAGAAAAGAAAAAGAATTTTCCCCAGTTTTTTCATTTGTCTTGATTTTCATGGTATTTAAAAGAAGTTTTACATTTCTTTATATCCAAATCTTTATGGTTTCAGACTTTGGTACAAATGCTTAAAAAGTCACTCCACACCTCATGATTATATAAATATCCACCTATAGTTTTTTATTTTGATTTTTAAAATCTCACCCAGGGATATGTTTTTTATTGTTTGTTTTTGTTTTAGAGAGAGAAGAAGGGAGAGTGAGAGCCAGAGAGAGAGAGAAACATGGATGTGAGAGAGAAATATCTATCAGTTCCCTCCTGTTCGAGCCCGGACAGGGGATCGAACCCACAAACAACTGAACCACCTGGCCAGGGTACCTATAATTTTTTCAAGCATTTTTGTGGTTTTATTGTTCAAAAATAGGTACTCCTTAGTTTTGCAAGATGGAAAGAGTTTTGGAGATTGGGTGCAGAGCAATGTGAATTACTTAACACTACTGACCCATACACTTACAAGTGGTTAGGAGAGTAAACTTTATGTTATGTATATTTTACCGCAATTTAAAAAAATATTCATAACATGTTTACAGAAACTTAAAAAAGAAGAAGCTTGAATATATGGAAAAGAAACAGCATAATCTAAGGACTAGTCAAACATATTTGAAAAAAATGCAGTAAAACTTCTAGAAGTGAAAACTAAAATGATTGAAACTTTAAAGAGAATAAACAATAGAATTGACACGCTTAAAGAGAAAAAAATCGGTGAAATAGAAGACATAAATTTTAAAACAGACATTCACAGTGCAGTCCAGAGATTAAAAGAGAGGGAATGTTTGAAAGACAGGATAAGAGGTATGAAGAACAGGGTGAGAAAGTCTAATAAATGCCTAGGAGAAATCTCATAAGGAAATAATAGAGAGTGTAGCAAAGAGACAGTCAGAATATTTTCCAGAATTATTGGAAGACAACACACCAGATTCATTGCTCTCATCAAGTCCCAAGTTGCAGGACATCAAAGACAAAGAGATCTTAAAAGCAGCCAGTCAGAAAAGACGGGTGTGACTTCCCACCAGCAACACCGTAATGCAGTCTACTGAACCTTCCTTTCGGTGTCCAGGTAATCCTGCTGCAACATCAGACCATGTCATTCCCGGGCTTGAAATCCCCCAATGATTCCCCAGTTCACTTACAAAAATATTCAAAGTCTTTATGTGACTTAATTTTTAAAAAATGTCCTTATTGATTTCAGAGAGGGGAAGGGAGAGAGAGAGAAACATCAATGATGAGAGAGTCATTGATCGGCTGCCTCCTGCACCCCCCCTACTGCGGATCTAGCCGGCAACCCGGGCATGTGCCCTGACTGGGAATCAAACTGTGACCTCCTGGTTCACAGGTAGATGCTCAGCTACTGAGCCACGCAGGTCATTTTTTTGTATGTCTGTGGGTGGACATGGGTATTGGGCAGCCATCGTTGAGAACACTGTTAAAGAGAGAACCACAGGCCCCAAATGGCTTGACTTGTGCTAAAAGCCAGGATACCTAACCTAGGTTTAATCCCTAACCTATCTGCAGTTTTAGCTCTTCAGGAGTGGAATCTTAAACCAATCAGCCTGGAACTTCCTTACCCGCACTAGTGGGGTAATCTGCCTGATAAGCCCCCTGCCCCTCCCCTAACGGGACACGTCAGTGTCTGAGATCATCCAATTTTAACTTCTTTGTGTCTATAAAAACCTTCCATTTTGTACACTTCGGATGCAGGACCCTCCTATTTAGTAGATGGGGTGTTGCCCCATTCATAAATTGCTTAATAAAGCTAATTAGATCCCCACATTTCATGGTTGAATTTTGTTTTTTTAACACCACTGACTTTGATGAGTCTGGAACCTTATGAGGGCCACTGCTGAAGACGGAAGTCAGGGCCTAGGTCCCCAGGTTGGAAATGAGTAAACTATGGCTTGTAAAGATTTTCTAGTTGTAGTCCCTTTCCATTTGAAGTTCCAGAACCTTTAATAAATCTGCCACAGCCAGAATGGAGGGAGACCTGGAGAGCAGGGCCGTCTGTGGCCAGCACGGTGGCCTCTATTTCTGAGGCTCTGGGAACAGGGAGGAGGGCACCCTTCCGTGGCGCAGGTAGGCTGAGGCGCTGGCTGTAACGACAGTAAAGCAGACATTCCTCAACGCCACGGGGCCTCAGCTCTCCCCGAAGCTCCCTTCACCACGTCTAGAAGAGCTTCCTAATCCTGTAGCATGTTACCTCCTCCCAGTACTGAAGAAACCTCCTCAAAAAGGCCCTCTGTGTTGTGAATTTTCATTTTTAGCTCCCACCGCATATGAGGGTCTGTGATGAGTAGGTAGGTGGCTGCTGATACATTCCTGGGGACACACACACGCACACACACGTCCCCCACATCTGGCTCCATGGGGCTGAGGGTGTGATTTCTCCTCTAAATGCAGCCTGACCTGCCCCTCCACAAGGGCAAACAGAGCCATGGACACCCTCTCTCTCAGTAACTGCCACCTGCCTGCCTGTCATTGTCTGGGGAAGCTCCTCTCACCTCGCCTGCCTGGAGCTGCTGTGATGATCTCCCTGAACTACGTGATAATGACCAGCGTCGGGCCCGAAACAGCATAGTTCAGGGACTGCCACGTGTTTACAACCCGTTGGGCCCGTTGCCTTGCGTCCCTGCTCTTGAGGATGCTACGGAGACGAGCCCCATGCTGTCGAGGTCTGATGCATCCGTTGTCACTGGTAAAGCTCGCAGCGTTTCTCATACCCCCTTGTTTCCTTTTAACTGCTTAACTACATCTTCAAGTACTCAGGTTTTTGGAAAAACAGGCGTGGGAAGGTTTGGAATGTTAGGTCCGCGAGGGCAAGGGTCTCTGCCAGTGGTGCTCACAGCGGGGCCGCAGGAGCCTGGGAAGGTGCCTGGCGCACGGGGGTGTTCAGCAGAGATTTCTTAAGGAAATGAAGGAAGGTTACGGTACATTTTGGTTTTGAAATTCCTGCTTTATATCATCTTCCTACTGAGCCTCTGGCCTCAGCACAGTCCCCCGGGACAAGCAAGGGAGCCACACTGCTCGGGAGAGTTTCCCGTCCGTGACCGGCTGCTAAGCTCAGCTCTGCTGCTGTGGGGCTGGGGGCCTTCGGCCAAACTCTGGGCCTTTCTGTGCCTGGGTTTCCTCATCTCTTCCCTGGAAATAACAATAGTACCAAATTCATGGAGTTGTGGGGAGGATTCAAAAAGCTTTTATAAGCCCTGGCTGGGTAGCTCA